CGACAGTACACATCACAGCCGAGTCTTGGCGGAGGCTGCGGAGGCGCATGAGACGTGACAGGGTTTGTGAATTTGATGGTATTCATGTCTCAACCGGTTCCCATTCCTCGTGATATCGTTGATCCGCAGGAGAAAGGAAATGAAGGCCTAAGTCGCCGTGAAATGCATGCCTGCGCCCTCGGAGGGCAGTTCAGATTCCGAATTCCTGCTTCCGGTCAGCCGCAGCCCAGACACCTCGCCCGAGTCGCAATGTGCATACCTCAACTCCATATCCCCAACCATTTACCGGCTAGCGCTCCAGACGGACTTGAGGAAGCCGTCCTTCTGTGCGAGCCTGTTGAAGCTGTCGTCGGCCTCACCCATGGCGCGAACGAAACCGCAGATGGCGTAGGCCTGGTTGTCGCCGGTGTAGCGGCCGTTCTCGTCAACCTTGCCAACGCTGAGCTGGACAGAGGCGTGGTCCTTGGCCCTGATGATGCGTCCGGTGGCCGACTTGGAGGATATTAGTATCGCGTTTCGGGGTCAGGTAGCTAGTCGTGGGATACTCACGCACTGTATCATGTTAGCAGACATTCATTGCAATTGCAGGCATTTGGCTTACTTTGCGGGGGACGTAAAGGTCGACGAGCTCTCCGCGTTCGTTCTCCATTTTGATCGATTTGTGTGTTGACGGCGGGTGGTCTTGGTTGAGGCTTCGTTGGTGGTCGATGTCGTCGGTTTGCGACACTGGGGAATTTCGAGTGTCGCTTAGCACTGGTGGTTGGCGCTAGCTCTGAATGCGGCTTAGTCTACCACTCCCTTCCATAGCTCTCGTCGCGTTCACTGTCATGCCAACTATGAACAGCTGGTGCATTGGTACGATAATGTGGAAGCTTCTTGCAACAAGCTTTGGGGTCGTAGTGGACTCGTCAACTGGGAATCGCCCAGTAAGGGAATGTATATCGAGCCGTCTGCGTGCACCCCGATAGTATGAGACGGAGTACCATACCTATTTCTCTCAGTGCACAAACAAAGGTTGGAAACACATATAGAGTGGTAGGCTCCTTCTCAACATCACACCTCAGATCTGGTAGGCGGTTGTTGTGCCAATTGCGGATTTCGGCCACTAGAAAGGCAGGATATTCACAACAAGCATCCATATCGAGGGACGTTTGTTCCGGCGACGATGCGACGCTGTACTCCTATATCAGTAGCTATATGAATGCATCTCTGCTTTCCTGTGGTATAAGCCCGATGGTGTGTATAGAGGTCCGCCACTTGCCATCTAATCATAATCTGTAGTTGCAAGCCACCCTAACAACTTTAAGATCATGCGCCCATCGTAATGCTCGCAATGCTGCCGTGGTATCGGCAGACAATGTTTGTAGGATGGGCAAAAACATTGGGCGTCTACGGTTATCGAGTCTCATGTATCCAAATTCACTCGACCATTTCCGCTACTCCTAAACTACCCCTAAACTACCCCGACCTCTAGGTGTAGATGCAAAAAAGGATACAAAAAGCAAAATGCATCGGCCGGGAATCGAACCCGGGGCTAGCCGAAACTGTCCTGTGATGGATGGCAACGGCTAATTTTACCACTAAACCACCGATGCTGGTGATTGAACTGATGTGCAATTGATGGAGAGAAGAAAGATTGGTGCATCTATATACCCTAAACAATTTCACAAATCCGACCACGGGAATACATCCAGCACTCTCGAGTCGATGGATGTGGATGTGGGTGGAGTCAGACAGCGGTAACCCGAGTGGGGCTCGCAACTCTAGACTATGAACTCTGTTGCTCTCCGCCTTCACGGCAGTAGCTGGCTATTTTGCTCCGTGGTGCAATTGTTCTTGGTCTGCCGCAATACGACGAACGTGACACTTGGAGTACAACGGCATTTTAAGCTTGCGACGTTGCGCAAATCCGCTTAGGATACTTGCCACTCCTCATTTATCTAACATCAATAACATTATCAGGCTGCGCATGTGAAATGTGCGCACTAGAATCGTCAATCTCTCCTACTTATCCTTGCTGTGTTCTTAAGTGGCTCAGGCTACGATATCTCGATTCATACTGCACTATTGGACTGACTCAAAGGACAAGCTTAGCACGTTCAAATCTTGTCAAGAATATCGGAAAGGTGAAGGGGTTCTAAAGTTTGAAAATACACTAAAAATACAAGCGATTGCCATCGAATGTTACATGAATGCACATAAACTTATCTTACAACCGACAAAGACTACTCTGCAGCTCAATTTACCAACACGACCATCCTCTCGATATGTTGTATACAAACATAATATGCAACGACCCAGATCGATCCTCGTACACGATAATATTGGTCTTCTGATCCAGGGACAATGTTTGTACTTCAGAGTTCGAGCCTTCACAGGCCCTCGGTGTCGTCATGGAGATAGTGGTTTACGCAATAAAGTCCCCTCGTCGCTCAGATAATCGGTTTCGTGTTACATGAGCCAATGTTCGTTGTTTGTTCCGAGGATTGAGAGGACGACGGAGGTGTGCCATAAGTCCGCACTTGAGCGCTCAAGATTTGACGGTCGACTCCTCGTTCTACAGCCCGTGTAAGCTTTTCCAGGCCTGTCTTGAGATTTCCGCCGATAATTGGTTGTTTAGCGGTTGCTGCATTTGGTGTATTTTGGTCGCGTTTCGACGTGGAGAGAGTAAGTGCGCGACACATAGTACTGTGGAGATACGGGGTTACTGCTGTGGAGACAGTAGATCTTATACTGTAAAGTGTGGATTGTCGAATCTTGCTGGATCTAATAATCTCCTGTATGTGTGGAATGGACACGGCATCGAGTCCATGGGTGGCACTTATATAGATTAGGCTCTGTCTGATCCAGTTGTACGCGTATTCGTAGACTGCATTGCCCGACTCTTCCAGCACTGCTTGCGATACGTCGCTGCGGCTTCGCAATGTTGGCGCTGAAGGTGGCTGAATGGATTCGTAACCTCGTATAGACAACCAATCGGATTTTAGCGCTCGGATCCGGCGATCTTCCTCCCATGAAGCCGATGGCGATCTTTGAGGCACTGCAGCTCGGACGTCGTTTGAGCTTACTCTCAGGACCGAGTCTTGTGGCACAGTTTCGACATTGTTTATCAATCCACCTAGACAGTAGTCAGAGGCCCCGCTGCTCGCCAGCCCTGTCGACAGTACAGCCACAGAGATCCGAGCTTGCATGTAAACCAGCATCGGTATGCAAGATATTGTTGGTGATAGTCGCGGATGTGGTGAAGAAATCACAGCTAGGAGCGACGGATGATTGTTTGATCATAGGATGGATCCCGAGGATCTCGAGCATGGTCATACTCGGGCCAAGCTCTGGAGACATCATGGCTGACGTGGTCCCGCTCAGGCCTAATCACTCGTCAGCGATCGCAGCTGCAGCAGCTCTACACATAACTTTACATGAACATTAATTCCAACTGCACTTTAGCTTTCCGGGCTTGAATCTTTACAACCCTGGAAGCAACCTCTTCAAAAAATGGAGGTAGGGATATTGCTAGTGTGAGTTTCTGCAGATTAGGAAAACGCGATCTTCGCGACGCAAGATTCACTAGCTGTGACAAACACTGAGCTTCGTCTGAGTGCATGAGATTCCTTTCCTCGGGATTTAGGTTTCCCGTGGCAACGATATGACGCACGTACAGTGTACGTAAGGACGTAGGTAGACACGAAGGTTCAAGTAACAGACTCCTTAGCTTGTTTGTTTGGTTAGCCTTTTGCAAACAGATTGTGTCTATCTTGAGATTCTCTAGCCGCGACGCTTTCAGTATTTCCCTTGCACCGAGACTGTGGCCTAAGACCTCAAACTCTTCCGAATGGCCATAATCATCGTTGTACCCAAAGCTAAATTCGCGAAGAGTTGTCTCGAAGGCGTGCTTGAATGAGTAAACGAGGCAGCGGAACGTAAAGCCAGTCAAAATAGGAATGTGAGTATTCCACTGGTAGTTGGCGTGCAACTTCAAAGATCTTAAGTTGCGGAAAACCGCCGCGAAGATCCGGATTTTTTCACTGAGTTCCTCCCCATCCTGAGGCTCGAAGAAAGAGAGGTCCAGGCTAGTGACCGTATTGTTCTCGAACTTCCAGTCGTCTAAAGACATCGCCACGGTTTCTCTCGCTGCAACACCGGAGAGGCGCAGAGTGGTCACGGTCCGTAACTTCAATACTGGTACGATATCTGATAGCCCACATTCTTTGAAGGAACCCATGATGTCCAAGTCCAGCTCTTGCAGATTGGGTAGGTGCATGATGAAGTCTCGAATCTCATCAGCAACATGACAATATTGCTCCACGAAAACGGCCCGAACGTGTCGTAGCAGCTCAGAACGGGTGTTCGTTGTTCGTAACATTTTTTCTCCATTATTCGCGGTCATGATCAGAGAGCGGTAGATATACGGCTCTACGATGCGACAAAATTTACGGGATACCAGCGATAAGCTGAGAAGGTCGTTGTAGAGTGGTTTATGTCTACTCGGCAAAGGGTTGGTGACTTCAGACACTATGTGGTCTAGCAATTCTTCTGATAGGCGCTCCATGGCGAAGAAAGCGAACTAGATGGAACGGGTGGCGCAGCTTCGAGTGATGAAATGATACCTTCGATCCCGAGGTTTTCGTTGTAGAGCGGTCACTTCGGACGTGTCCAATGCGCTCTTGCGACGCGTAGAGAGATTCCAGGTAGCGAAAGGTAAGGACGCGAGGTATTGGTTGCACGGCTGTAAAACCTGGAGGGCGTTAGGTGTTGCCGTCAACCACGAGGCGAAGAGCAGGGTAGGGCGTCGATTGATTAGGCCCACTTAGCGCAAAACCCGTGTTGACACGCCCAACACCTGCTTTCCACTGACTTCAGCCACCCTTCAACCTTTTCGCAATCGCCAATTCAGTTGGCATACTCCTTTTAAAATCACAAAAGGCCCGAGATCCATATTGCTCGTCATTATACGATTTGCGCCTGTCGCCAGTCCCAATGAAACTGCGTCGCCACATACAATGCCGATCATCAATGAGCGCGACTTCCCGCTACTTCCGTCACAAGATGCAAAGCGTCGACGCGCTACCAAGCGTAAACTCAAGAACAATGGCTTGAGATCTCGTACAGCTAAGTCGCTTGCGACGTTGACTGATCTTCCTGATGAGTTGATTCTTGAAATACTGGGCTACCTACCAGGTATAGACCTCAACCAATTCCAACTTCCTACACTGGTCAATTTGGCATTGACCAGTCGGCGCTTTTACCGGATTGTCGTTGATATGCTCTATACTAAGTACAATAGCCATTTCTGCGAGCCTTACACTTTTCTTCGTACTATGATTCTTAATCCGCAGCTTGCGGAATTTGTTCACGATGTGGACATCACATTCGGCCTGTGGACATGTCGCAAGGGTCGGCGTTATGCTCCAACTGCGAAGGACAAGAAAACTATTAAAGAAGGACTGCGCGCGCTTGGTACGTCGGACTGGAAAGAATGGGCGACTCAATGCAACGAAGACCGTAGTAACGACGAAGCATTGCAAAACGCGATGTTATTGCATATCCCGAATATCACACATCTCAGCATCTTAGACATCGCAAGAGATCGATCGCGACGCCGCGCCTGGTTCGATCTCATAAGCAAGGCGGCAGCGGGTACTCTATCCAGACAGACTCATCGGTTCGAACATCTACGATCAATCAAACTTGAAGCAAGAACGACATCCTTGAGTGACATCGCACCTTTGTTCCGACTTCAATCATTACGAAAGCTGCAATTGCGCGAGGTTCACGGATATGGTATGGCGGATTGCAACATATGCGCAAGTCATCGCGAACACGGCGAAAGAACGGCACTCAAACTGCAGCGTCTTATTCCCCAAGCCTGTAACGATCTGGACGAGCTTGAACTGGAATGTACCTACTACACTAAGTTTCTTCTGGAAGTGTTGATCTCATCAGCACGGTGCCTAAAGACATTCAGATACGATGTATGTCTAGATCACCTGTCAGACTCGCCGATACCAAACGGAGACCGACTGAAGACGTTGTGTGAAGCCTTGGATAGTCAAAAGGCCTCCTTAGAGACCCTTTACATCTTCTGCGACTCGATCGCAGAAGAAAGGACACATAGCGGAATTCATCTTCGTGACAGCCTCGAAGGCTTTGTGTCGCTAAAGGAGCTTAGCTGCCCATTAGGAATGATGATGAGTAGAGTCTCCGACACAATCACGGAAAGATTGCCTGTGTCGCTGCTGACGTTTCGAACGCCTGTTCGACCTTCTACGGACGACCAACACTACCTTCAAGCTCTGGACAATGTGGCCTCTTCCTATCTTGCGCATGTTCCTCGATTGAAGGAGGTTCGAGTTGTAGTCTCATCGTTCGCGATGTATGATTGGCAACGCCTTGTTGAACTCTTTTCGGTTGAAAAAGGCATAAATTTTGTAGTGGAACGAGACGACGAGGACGCGGACTTTTCTGATTGGAAAGATGACTCAACAGATTCATCACGTTCGTCACATGAAATCGATCTGTATAGCGATCATGATTAATGTAAGAGCAATACCCACGATGATGGCTACCTTTGCTGAGCATCATTTCGGCATAGCGATCTTGAAATGAGCAGTAACTCAATATGATTAGGTTCTGTTTGCTGATCCTTATTGCCACCCAAAATGTGATAATTAGGAGTTTCTCCTGGATAAGCGGAAAAGTACTGCAATGCCAAAAAATTTGGAGCTTCTACATCGAAATGAACCACACTTGTTCGGGACAAGGTGTGCCCTGGTTCGTTTCCTTCGTTAGGCTTGTGTATCACCACTACAAGTGAACACCAACATTCTAAACAACCTACACACTCACATTATAGCTTCTTGGGACTATTGAAGTCCTCAGGAGCCTACTACACGACATCCCAGCAATCTCGTTTTGGGGGATACCTCTCAGCTCCGAACGTTACCTGGCCCAATGTGCCTTCTCAGCAGTTGATGCAGCCTCCTTATAAAGCAAAACAGTTTTGCACTTAGATGTCTTTTGAAACTCTACCCCCTTTTTTTTTAATGGAAGGAAATACCAAATATCTGTTGTCGACTTGCGAAGCTACACATAGTACTGCACATTTACCAAACGGACGCGGCATAATGTGCGTACAGCTTCTCTATATACTTGAGGAGCATATTGAGCGTGTGTTGGTTTTTCAAGAGACTCGAGCTATCTAGTTCTGAGACCATGTCTCTGAGCTGGAACAAAAATCGGTGAGAGACATATACCTAGGTAGTGTGTGCGTAGAAGGCCTGTAGTCCTGATGGTATTGAGTAATTTCGATCGGTTTGAAAGGATAAACCTTCGACCTCATACCTACACTTGTCTTCCCTTATTGAGCGCTAGTTCAAACAAATTGCGATCGAATTGGTTTGAATGAAGTAATTACCTGCGATCACACCTCGGGAGGTTCATCAATACCTAGGTAACACCCCGCTGATCTAGAGAGTTGACGTCATTACAGCTTTGTCTGAAGAGTGCAACAACGGCAACTGTAATACATTTGCATAAGCCGTCGCTAACGAACACTTACACTATACAAATTACAGACAACCTCCAGGCGTTCCTTGAACACGCGCACCTTGCAAGCAACGTCCAGATTTTGCACCTGGAGCCCCGCCTTGGCGGCTGTGACGATGACATGAAATTATTCCGCAATATTTTCGCCCACTGAGCAAGCTGTTACGTGAGGCAATATATGAGATGGTTTATGTCTATCTTGTCCACCTCCCGAGGTTTTCATGTGTCGGTTTCTTCCGTCTACTCGTCTCTGAGCCGTGCCGTCTCCACATGCCGGTCCACTCGCCCCCTGAACCGCGTTCCTCAATTGCCGATTTCGCCATGCGCGCGCCCTCAGGGTCTGAGATCGGAAGCAGGTGCGCACGTAATGTGGATACTATGGAGATAGCTTCTTCCATCCAACCCGGTACTTCTACCGCTCGTCGCGTTATTCTTTACATTGTTTCTATTGTGAAGAAGCAACGCCAACCTCACCAACAGCAACAAAGAGTGTGAGATACGAAAGAAAAAATGTCCAACCCCTCAGTTGTTAAGCCCGATCCGTCCTATGTTGTACCCCTCTTCATCAACGGCAAGGAGGTCACAACCAAAACCACTTTTCCTGTAACATCACCTTCATCCCACAAGCAAGTATGGACCTCTTCGGCCGCCTCTCTGGAAGATGTCAAGAGTGCCGTGTCAGCGGCAAAAGCTGCTTTCCCCGCTTGGTCCAAGATGAAGCATTCCGCCAAACGCAATATCTTCTTGAAAGCCGCCGACGTGATCGATGCGCGCGCGGAAGAATTCGCAGACTACATGAAGATTGAAACTGGAGCTGCGGACATGTTCAGCAACGGGTTCAATGTGCCTAAGATGGCGGATATGCTGAGAGATGTGGCGGGAAGGTTGAGCGCCGTGATGGGACATATTCCTAGCTGTGAAGAGGAGGGTACTAGTGCGTTGATCGTCAAAGAGCCGTATGGGGTCGTGTTGGGCATTGCACCTTGGTATGTATCTTCCCATCCATGATCGTACATGGGAAACTTATGTGAGTACCAGGAATGCCCCATATGTGCTTGGTATGCGATCAATTCTGTACCCTCTCGCTGCGGGTAACACTTGCATCCTGAAGGGTAGCGAGTTCTGCCCTCGCACATGGTGGGCTATCGGCAGCGCCTTGAGCGAGGCCGGCCTTCCCGCGGGCGCGCTCAATGTCCTCTTCCATCGTCCCGAGGATGCAGCGCAGGTGACAACTGCCCTAATTGAGGAGCCCGCTATCAAGAAGATTAACTTCACTGGCTCTACCGCCGTTGGTCGCATAATCGCATCGACAGCTGGCAAGAACCTCAAACCTGTTCTGCTCGAACTAGGTGGCAAAGCGAGCGCCATTGTCCTCGACGATGCCAACTTGCAGACAGCAGCGACACAATGTGCACTAGGTGCCTTCCTGCATTCAGGCCAGATTTGCATGAGCTCAGAACGCATTCTGGTACACAAGAACATCAAGCCACAGTTCATCGAAGCTTTCAAGGGCGTCGTGGAGGGTATCTTCGGCGGCGACAAGCCCGCGCCGGTTCTCGTAGCTGCGCCGGGTGTAGAAAAGAACAAACGCCTTGTCGCAGATGCAATCAAGAATGGCGCCAAAGTCGTACATGGTGACCACGAAAGCGATGAAAAACACCCAGAGACGAACGAAACCTCCGGAACACGCATGCGTCCCATCATCGTTGATGGCGTGAACAAGAACATGGAGCTTTTCCACACCGAATCTTTTGGACCATCCGTCTCTGTCATAGAGATCTCTAGCGATGAGGAAGCTATCGAGATCGCTAATGACACCGACTACGGTCTTTCTGGTGCTGTATTCACAGAGAACCTTGGCCGCGGTCTGCGCATTGCCAAGCAGATTGAAAGCGGGTAAGTTTTGCAAATAACGCATGATGTGGATCATACGTTACTACTTCTGAAACCTGATCGCTAATAAAGAGACACAGAGCTATTCATATCAACTCCATGACAGTGCATGACGAGTGGACTTTACCGCATGGTGGTGCGAAGGCAAGTGGATTTGGGCGATTCAACGGGCACTGGGGTATTGAAGAGTTCTTGAGGATGAAAACTATCACCTACAAGGAGTAGGATGAGTTGAACTTTTAGCATGTGTAATGCTCGACCATCCGGTAGCTTACCAAGTGAGGATACCGTAGGTAACTTACGGGACACGGTATGTTTGACTTCGAAGCTGGAACCTGGGCTTGCTTTTCCATAACACGACCGAATTGACTCTGTTCGTACATCAGATTTGCGCAAAATTACTACGTTGCCTTGATTTCCAGCATTTTCTATCGCCAAAGATTCTAATTGTAGGTACTCCAATGCTTCTCTGTCTATGGTACCAATTGTATATAGCAGGCTTTCCCAAAGGTAACACATGTGACAGGTATGTCTATCCAAATCAGCAAAAACGTACGGCCAAGCGATTCCTCAACTAGAGGACACGACCGCCGTCTTGCAACTGGTGGCTTTTCGTAGCAAAGTACTCCTTCTCGGCGTGTCACCTTGCCAACTATGCTTGGCGGATTACTTATCACTATCGACTTAAAGTAGGCTACGCAATCACATTACTTATAGCCTTGGGCAGTCACCTCTTGTATTCAGCCTCCACCAACATTGCCATCCAGTTTCACGCAATCAGGGTAAATCTACGAAGCCTACAGCGATCATGTTTCACTCATCCATTGTGCTCGCTATCCTTCCTCCTCTCTCCCTCTTTACGGCAGCTGGAGCTGATTCCCCTTCTCTCTCCATCGAAAACATAAAGTTCTCCTCGTACTACCTGATGGTATCTCCCTCCGCCCAAGGTCCAAGACAAGGCCTTCTCGACTTCACCTTGATTAACAGCGCAGTTGGAGTTGCTATTGCGTGCAGTGCTAAGAACTCGAATTCTTTCGCCATTTTCAGCCCCTCTATCAGCTATGAATGCGACTTCGCGCCTGCTGGAGGAGAAGTGAGGGACGACGACTGGTGCTGGACAAATAGCGCGACTTTCAATTTTGATACGACAGAGCCGAAGGTCTACAACTTGACTGTGCAAATGAGTTGGTCGTGTGAGAAGTAAGTCTTTCTTGTTACCTTCTGATGTAGTCTGGACTTCCTTTTTCAAATCATGGTTCCAGTGTACAAGCCACAATCACTAATAATGACCTTAGCGAAGGCGTCTACGCTCTATCCGCCTGGAGTCTCCTTGATCTCGACTGTGGGAGCTGGTCATGCGAGAACAAAATGTGGCCCAAATATAATGTGTATTCTAACTCTAGTACGCTATGTATGCCGGGTAGCGTGAATTTTCCAAGCGCCGATGTGAACGTGCTGAAGTTGGAGTGAATCTGGGCTACCAAATAAGCCATGGTCAACAGATCAGAAAGAGACGATTGTTTGATTGGACAATGGAATACTGTTGCTTGTTCTAGACCAAATGTCATGCTTGCAAAGGCGAATATTTCTGACTTGAGCTTGTAGCCGGTCTGGACAACTTTGTCTGTGATGTACTACGCTGATCCCTTGCGGCTGAACTTTCGTAGCCGCTCAATAGATGGACTACATGATGTTCTAGATGGCATGTAGTTGAACAGCGAACAATGCGGACTACGGCAAATTGTCCAGTAGCTCCGGCTAGTATCAGGTGTGGCTGGCTGTCGTACCCGTCTCGTTTATACCATGGGCACACAACTGCATTCACACTAAGCTGTCACCCCGCATCACTCTGATCCTAGAGTTTCTTGTACATGGACATGCTGGATATGGCCACTGGAGGATATCGCCACTCTAGAGAGTGTTGTTCGCAACTGTGTGACCAGACCTTATTGTAGAGATGATAGTAGAGTTTGCTCACCAGCAAGCTGATGGGCTCTGATGATCATGACGAGCTCAACTCATGAATCAATGATCATTCCGCCCAGCATACCCAGGAGAGCGTTATGGTAACTGGCCGACTAGGCGGGTGTAAACGCCGACCCAGAGACTGCGCCATCAATTCTCCGGCGGCATGCTGTTGGCCTTCAATAGGACGCGAACACCCTGTGCCACGTTTGTGCTCTTGATTTTGTCGTGGGAATCCAGCTAATCTCGTACAGGTCACGATCGCCCCACCCGTCACATCGATCATGTCGTAGAGCTACGTTGGCGTTCCAACCACCCATTGTTAGCTTTGCTTAGCACAGATCGTGAGATGTGATAAAGGAACTGTGATTGGGCCTACCAGACCTTGTTAGTAGCTAAAACCCAAGACTGCGGCACCAAAGGCAATTAACTGGGCTATCTGCGGCACACACTAGTCATCTGTACTGGCTTGATTGTAAAATCGCGATATGTATGAAACCTATGTTCGTGGGCACGCTCGGCTTTGAGGAGCCGATGTGATCGCCGTGCTTGCAGGCTGGCGAAGCGACCCTGGTGGGGAGGTACACGTATGCGAAGGATCCTAGGGAACACAGCCATCACGCTCACGACCCAGGGTACGAGAAGGTTCGTAATGGGGGAAAACGCCTAGGAGATGTTTCACCCGAGAACCAAACGAATCGATGATAAAGTTCCATGGGCGCTTCGACCAAGAGAAGGATGATGCGCTATATCGGGCACTTCTCAGCAAAGGCCGTGCGCTTCCCGCGTCAAAGTTTGGGTCATGACGCTTGCCATTGCCGGCCCACCACCAGAACTTCTTTCCAGCCATCCTCAGGCCGATCACGCGCCATAATCTTTACTCAGGCTTGCCAGCCCACCCCATGCAGGAGTTCTCATGTTCCGTGCCTGTGGAGTGGATCTAGGTGCGCTGCTGCGTGTTCGCTTGTCCGCATGCAGTTTGGAATGTGCATGCTAAATAAAGCCAGACTCAGCCCTCGCGAGGGGAGCGGCTGAGTACTACCATCGTATTTGTCTTGCACGGTGCACCTCCTCTTCCCCACTTGTCGTTGTGAGACGGACAAGCCTATTACTTTGATTCATACTCTCGTTTCGCCATTGAAATCATATTCGAGGATTGCCATTTACAGCCAGGACATAATAAGAAGAATCGCAGGTGGGGTAATACTGAAGACAATGGCTCTCGAATCACCACAGCCGCTTTCTAGAAAGAAGTCACTATTCCGGCGCTTCTCAAGACGAGATCGAGGCGACGCTCCTCCGTCGCCTTTTCTAATGAACGAAGGCCTTCGTTCATATTCGCCCAGTTTACAGTCACCCAATCCACAATCGCCGAGAAGGTTACAGCGCCGTCCTTCACATGCACCGTCCTACCTCCTTACACCACCGCCGTCGCCCGCAAACAAGAGCACTGTCATAGCCATCGATGCGTCGAAACCGCAACAACCCAAGATGGTTGCACATATCCAACGCATCGAGCTACCATCAAATCGACACGTCCGCAGCGAACTCACACCCCCACCATCTCCAGAACCGCGGCGACGCGTACTTCCAAGTGCTTTACCAACCATGCCGTTTCCTGGCAAGCCCCTCATAACCTCATGGAATATCTTCCTCCCACCCTCGCAAATATACTCATTATATCTTGGGTATGCACCAAAGGACATGGATGATAAGTGGTATATATACAGCGAGGGTCCTGATCAGACAGGAAAACTGAAAGTCCATTTCCACCGAAGTTGGACTGGACTGAAGGTGGCAGAACTGTTCGTGGTCATGGATACAAAGGGCGAGGGCGCTGGAAAGATTGTAGGAATCAAGTGGAACGGGGATGAAGAAATGAACTGGATGAGCGAAGAGGAGGCGAAATACATGATACGGACGGCCTGTAGGTGGCAATTAGCCGTGTATTTGGAGAAGTGAGCCCTTACGATACGTGACGAGGCCGAGGTCGCGTTCGCGTTCACCGGCAATTCGTCTCTCTCTTTTCTTTTTCTATTCTTGACACGCATTAGCCCACGGGTTCCTTTCGATCCGTACCGTGTGGCGTCCTATGAATCGATGTCCCAGCCGCGTCTAATCTGATTTCTATACCCATTGCTGGTATAGAAGCTTCTAATATCAAACTTTTCTTTTCTTTCCCCCCACTGGCGCGCGCTTTGTATACGTCGGTAGTTCTAGCGTAAAACATCACTGCTACAACTATGTCCATGATGATTACCAACGCTCATGTAAAAGAAAAAACCTACGGATTTGGCACTCCGCTCGTATCCTCCGTGTAGGCATGCATTGTGGTGCTGGGTGGTATGATCTCTGCAGCAGAGTCCCACAGGCTAGTCCGCCAACCCTGCCATTCCCCCGGCCGTTCGCCATGGAAGCACACCCACATCCTATGATTGGATCGTGATTCTGAATGAACATGTGGCAAAGGTTTCTTTTATCGCATTCGCGATTCTTACCTCTTCGCCTTCATGAAAGCGACAGTTGTAAACTTGTCTCTAGACATCTCAACATAACGATGGCGGTGACGTGCCGTTTAACTAGGCTTGTGGGGTCCGAGAGGCGCTGCACGCTTTCGGCACCTCTCGCGTCTTCCCTTCTTCGGTGCTACCGTCCCTCACCCACATCTCTCTCCACACAACCCATGGCAGTACCAGGTATACTGCGACAAACTTGAACCGTTCGGCCCGAGATGCAGTCCACCTTGACACCATCCTCCCAAAGTTCCTCTCCCCAGCCACAGCGACTACCCGTTAATCCAAGAAGACACAAGGTCGATCCGTCATTACGAAAGCGCGTCGTAAGAGCGTGAGTATAGTCCCAGCCTCCGTGTTTCGCTTTGGTATTGGTCGCGGTTTCTTGGTGCCATGGTACCAAGATGTCGATAGATGGCGCCCAAGCATTTGTTGTCTGCATACGTCAGCATGGCTCGTTTGCAGCACTGAGAACGCGCGCATTGCTCAAATTCTGGGCAGTCTAAGCTTAAGCCTTCTGGGACTCATCGCTAACCTGCAGAGGGTAGATGCAACGCGTGCAACGTTCGTCGGGTTCGGTGTTCTGGAGAACAGCCGTGCCAGCGATGCACCAAATCCTCACGACAATGTGAGTATCCAGCACCCGAATCGGATAAGCACTCTTTGAGAGACGAGCTCGAACGTTTGCGAAAGCGATGTGCAGCACTCGAGACGGGGTTCAAGATTGCCGCACCTGAAGAAGCCGCTGAACTCATTGGCCAGCTCGATCATGGCGTGCCAGGGCGTTCAACCGCACCGACTTTCCTATCTGTGTCAATGGAACTGGATCAAGCCGATGCGAACGACGGCCGCCTGCTTGTTGATCCTTGTGGGACCCCGAGATTTTTTGGCGAAACATCTGGAGCGACATTTTTGGATTACTTGAAACAATTCATGCTTACCTTAGTTCCTTTAACCTTCCAGCCTGAGTCTGCGGATGGGTCTTCATTCGTTGCTTCAATCGGAACATATCAGACCTACGACTCGAGACCAATTCCCAATCCAAGTGTGGATCCTCTATGGCTACCCGATCAGGAAGATATGGCATTGATGTTGGCCCAATTACGAGCATATATTCAAGATGGCAACGGCGAATTTCTCTCCGGCGGGATATACTGTAAGCTATGCGCCGGTCATCGCTGGTACTTTCACTGATACCGTACAGGGTGGGGCGATCTCAGCAAGCTTCCCACATCTGCAGCCCCTTCGATGAGTGCAGTGACGACTGAAGACACTCACCGACGCTTGGCATTTTATCATGTCTGCTTCGCCCTGGCTACGTCTGTTGATCATGCGGCTTTCCATCGATCAGACCAGCATGCAGGAGGGGCTTTCTTCAAGCGCGCGCGAAAGCTTCTTGGAAACCCTTTGGATACTGTACGATTCACTCTGGATGATGTGCCGGTCTTGACCCTTATGGGATTCTATTTAATCGAACTCAACCGCAGAGATTCAGCTTACGTATATGTAAGTAAAATCCATGTACGCGCTGCACTCAAGGCACATGCTGACTTTGTTTCCAAACGTCAAGGTCAGCCTAGCAATTCATATCGCCATAATACATGGGGCATTCAGGTCATGTAATGACGAAGCGAGTAAACGCACTTTCTGGACCCTATATGTATTGGATAGATGGCTTTCCGTACTGATGGGACGCCCACCGACTCTACTTGATGAAGCGATCAGGCTACCTTTACCAAGCGATGTGCCGTAAGTATTTGCATATAGGTGAAGCGGAAAGCATTACTAACCTCCTCAGCTCAATGCCACCGTGTGCAGGCCTCCGAGCACACGTCGAGCTATCCCGCATCTCTGGCTACATTGTTTGTGAAACATTCAAAATCGCCCCGAGACACTACCAACGTGGATATTCGACCCTACACGTGGATAAGGCTCTGGAATTGCTCGAAGACTGGAAGCTGCAATTGCCACCGGTACTAGCTGTCCACATAGACGCTGATCCTGCGGTTCTCTCTCTGCATCTAGCTTCGAACCAGCTCATTGTCCTCGCAACTCGACCGATCCTACTTGCCGCTGTCAAGCAAGCTGTTGCTGAACGCTACATGAACGGCCAATGGTCTGTGCAGCAACACGCGCATAGCAAATATATTCAAGCTTGCTCAGAGGCTGCCCAGCGTAATTTGTCGTCAGCTCAACGATTGCGGTCAACGAGGAAGCTACTGCAGGCCGGTTTGCACTTCGTCTTCAACGCAGCTGTTATCCTGATACTAGATCGGATTCTTCACTCTTCTAGCACCGAAGCCTCACCGGCTCTGCTCAACACCGCAGTGTATGCCTCCGAGATAGACTTTGCCATGCGCACCTTTGAGGAGGAGTCAAGAACGGGTACCAACTACCCCAGAGACTGCTACAAAGTTTTACAAGATCTCAAAGCTCTAGTTGATCGCTACCTGTCTCATGGCCATGGACACTTCGAGCAAGGAAATGACCCTGGTCTAGTCATTAGTACTCCTGGACCGCAGTACAGTGCCCAGCGAGGCCCAGAAATCCAAGGAAGTACATCGAACATGACAGCAGGTACTGTCTACCAGGAGCTGCGAACCTGGATGCAAAGTGACGGGCTAAAGCTACATAACAGCTTACTCATTTGATTGGTTCACCGGGATTGTCCTCCGGGCGAATGGCATCGAAGAGGCTTGTTTTCCCCGCGGCGCTCCCACGCCCGCGGAACCGTCAACCAATCACGGCAATGCAGTGACCCTCGATTACGAACGGTCTAAGGGAGTCGCTTTTACCACCTCGTCGGGCTATCAGGGGTTTGCTGACGCCATGATCGATACACGGAACAATAACTTGGAACCGGCTCGTAGTGCATAAAGTTTTGCGACTCGAGATGCCGAAGGTGCATAGAAGATGTTTCTAGAGCTTTCCATGTTGGCTGATCTCGCCGCGGAGGATGAGGCAACGATGTCATGTCCACCTTCCTCCAAGCTGCCCTTTTACCATTCTCGTCAAGATAAGCAACCATTGCAGAACCGCGTTTGGCTCACCTTCGAGGTGTCGATGTCGAAACCCACATTCGGACAGGGATGGCTCCCTGTGCGGAGACCTCCGATTGGCCAAGCTTAGCCTGGCACGCTCCGATCCATGGACTGCTGCAAGCCAAGCTGTATACAACTTTGATCGGGCAAATTCAATGGGGTGAGAGGCGGTAACATATCGACATCGGTCATTGTAGGCGAGCTAAGGATCCGTTTTTGAGCCTCACCAAAGCAATTACGTACATGTGAAAGCGGAAAATGGTGAAGGTGACTAGGCTTGGCCATCTTTACTTTACGGAACTTGCCTTTACTATGGATTTTATTCAAGAAGATGATCCTCTGCTCCCTTGTTCCCGCAGTAGCAACTCTACAGTGATGAGTTCAACCACCAATATGGGTGGAGCGATTGCAATGTCGACAGAAGGGGAAGCCCCCAGTCCTGAGGAGCGCTCCATGTCAAAACGCGTAAACAGGAAGATGGACATTGCGCTGCTACCATTTCTTTCCCTGCTGTATCTGTTTAACGGTTTAGATCGATCGAATGTTGGAAATGCGGAGACGCAAGGTATGTGAGATCTTCGGAATGCTGATCGTAAAGGATCTGTCCTAACGTATGCAGGGTTCACTAAAGACATTGGCGCAACCCCGGATGATCTTAACCTAGCAGTGTCGCTTTTCTTCATCACGTTCGTGTTGCTTCAGCCTCCTTCGGCCGCTGTAGGAAGATGGATGGGCGCAAAGCACTGGATTACCATTATAATGGTAAGTTTACCGTAAACACATGTGGCATGTAATTTTAAATCCAAGACAGATCGGCTGGGGTGTTTCTACATTGGCGCACGCCTTTGTCCGGGGTAAGGGAAGTCTCATTGCTGTCAGACTTATGATTGGCGCTTTCGAGGCGGGTTTCTATCCTACAGCCGTCACATATCTCTCCACCTTCTACGGCCGATACGATATGGCTGTGCGAATCGGACTCTTCTACGGACAATACGCTGTTGCCGGCGCCTTCTCGGGCTCTATTGGTATGCCCTGCAATCTTCTGTACGCTCTAATGCTTTTCTAACATCGAGACCAGCATTCGGCATTTTCCATCTCAACGGCACCAGCCTGCATAATTGGCAGTACCTGTTCATCATCGAAGGGGCCTTGACGATATTCGTTGCAATGATTGCTTGGTTCTGGCTACCGCAAGGACCAGGATCAGCCTGGTTCCTTGATACCGAAGAACAGGTGTTCGCTGTGCAGCGTATCATTAAAGACAACTCCAAATGGGTTGCACACAGTTACGGAGGTGATGGCGTAGAACAGGATCGACTTACGAAGAGGGATGCTATTGAAACGGTCAAAGACTGGAAACTTTGGTTTCTACTCTTCTTCAATATCTGTGCTAGTGTACCCAGCCAGGCGTTCTCCGTCTTTATGCCTATGGTTGTGCAGGGCTTGGGATACTCATCAGTTGACGCAAATTTGGTACGTTCTTTTGCTCGTATACTCTATTCTGTGATTTAGGCTGATGTGACTATATATAGATGTCCGTACCGCCATTCGTATGCGGTGCCGTAGGTCTATACCTCTTTGCCCTTAGTTCAGATCACCGGAAAGAACGAGGCTATCACATCATCATTGGCACTTTCTTTGCTCTCGTCGGCCTGATCATCACCGTTACCGCGCCGTCCCACCACGCACAGTACGCAGGTCTTTGCATCCTTCTTTTTGGAAGCTACATCTCAGCCCCCCTGACTGTAGCCTGGCTCAGTGGCAACAACCCCGAGCCTGGAAAACGGTCCCTCGTTCTCGGTGTGAACGGATTCGGCAACCTCGCAGGCGTGATCGGCTCACAACTCTACAAGAAACGATATGCGCCTAGATATCTGACACCTTTTTACGCCACACTAGGCTTCGTGGCTGCGGCGCTTATAGGGTACACGGCGTATAGGTTCATCTTAAAAGCTGTTAATAGAAGAAAGATGATTTGGGCAGAGGGAAGGAGTGCAGAGCAGATTGAGGCCGAGAGGTTGGATTCAACCAGATATGCGGATGCGAAGATGTCGTTTTTGTATGGTCTGTGACAAGCCTTGATGATCTTGACGGCTACATGCGCTTCATAGTAGAACAAGCCTGCATTCTTAACCGCAAATACCGTTACTCCTCGCTGGTACTACTTCTATCATCAGCTACGGTACTCTCAACAGCTTCTTCCCTAGTCGCTACATCACTAAACAGGTTGATCATCGTTTGTGGTACACCATGATCCTGCAACTCCTTCCTTACATCTGCCCTCGCAGCAGGCTTAACAAATCTCCGGGCCGCCGCCCAGAGCCGACCACTCTCAGCCACAGGCTCATCAGCATAACTAATCAGCTCTCCCAACCAAGCCTCTTTGTCCTTCTCCATATGCCAGAATGCAATTCCAGCCCGTACATAAACCAAACCAGAATCAGAGCCCTCGATGAAGTCGGTTAAGAAATGTTCGAAATCAGTGTTGAACGATTCTTGCAGGATCTGTACCGTGCGAAAGCCCCAGAAGGCAGCCTCACCCCATTGACCGAGTTTGTTGTATGCTGCAACGGTTCGTGAGACGAGTTTGAGGCGTAGCACGACGCGTATGGTTATCCCGGTTTGACCGGCGTAACGACCGGACGTTATGCTATCGTGGAAGAAGTCGTCTGCAAGGACGCGGCGTGTGCGTCCGTGGATCAGAATGTGGATTGCATGGAATGCTTTTCTGTAGAGCTCGAGAGCTTGTAGGGCGGCTTCTCGGTTGGCAGCTTCGGCTTCAGGGTCGCCTTTACTATTGGTATCGGCATTTGACGAGGATGCGAGCGCGGCGTCTCCAGCTAGCATGAAGTCTGTGGCGCTTTCAACGGATTCGCGCAACGTGGGTACAGGTTTGGCTTGGAGGCGAGCAAGTTCTTCGCGTACCGCGGGGGAGTAGCCGTGTATGCTTGTACCATGGAGACCTTTGACGTGTTCAAAAGGTAACAAGAGTTTCCGCTGCAGAGAGATTGGGATCCCTAGACCTTCTTGCTCCTCCTGCGCTTCTGCTGTGCCTTCCTCTTCATCGTTGTACTCTGCATACGGATTCCTCAGGACGAAGGTAGTCGACAGCCGCTCATTGAGCATAGGATACGACAGTGCACTATAGTACCACGTTTTGGTAAACAGGTGCAAATCATCCACGAGCATAACGACCATATGTTCAGGCACAACTCCATGGAAGGGTGCGGTTATCTGTACAACGGCATGATACGACGTAAACGCGTCGGCACGGGCGTCGGTGCACACGATGGGTACGAGACCCTCGGATGAGATGTGGTTCACTAAGACTCCAAGTTGAATATCAGCGTTGCATCCTGAAGAGAAAGGAGGAGCTCATGGCGTCCGCGAATTCCACTGAGTGTCGTCGCGGTGTGTTCGAGTAACTCTGGAACCCCTTCTGTCGCCATCAAGTAAACCCTATACATACCCGCAGAAGGCCAGGGTGTAGCAACCTTGACAAATACATTTTCTCTCCTCCACACTTTCTTTGCTTCCTCGTACACCTGCTTGTTTACCCTGAGGACATCAAAGTCCCATTGGTATACGCCCCCAAAGAAACCCTTGGCTTCTAGTTCGGTACTCTTGACGAGATGATCGGCAGGGCTGAAATATATAGAGTAGATTTGTTCACGGAGCTCCAAAGGCAGGCGAAGGAAAGGGAACGGGTCCGGTGCAGTCGCGGCTTCTTCGGACACGATGGGCGGCTCTGGGGGTGATTCTGGCGGTGTAGACCGTGATGCAAACGGATTGGATACGAGAGATGTGAATTGAAACATGGTGATGTTGATTTACAGTTACAGAGCTGGGGTTGGATTGGAAGAAGTGTACAGGCGGCTGGGACATGCATGACGAAGGACGAATGCGCGCCGCCCCACCATTACGTCCGGTGTTAACGCCGTGAGCCGAGGCATGTACGAAAGAAAGTGTTGCTCAAGTCATTGCAATCGCAACATATTGCTATGCATTCGTGATACTGTATTTCAACATATATAGTACATATCGTGAGTACCCAAGACACCCATATCCAGATGAAGTACTCCAGTGCTGCCTGCATAAGAGTGGAACGGTATCTTTTCGTGGTATCTTTCAAATCCTTAGACGTACATTCCGGAAACTCTCTACCGTGTCTGCGTCGGCTGAACACCCTCCTGATGACTTGCCGCCGCCTCCGGGGCGCTCGCCGCTGAGGGTACAGTGGCTGTTTGAGGCGCTGAACCACCCAACCAGCTGAACGCGCCTGCCTTCATGTCGTTGAGTTGAGCTTCCTGCATCTTCTTTTCCTCCTCAGCCATCTCCTTGAGCCATTGCTCTCCGTTCTCGCGAATTTGCTTGTCTAGGTGCATGTAGTTTTGCTTGTTAAAATCGCGGTACATGTCGATCATCATCTTGCCCTCTGACATTCCCTGGCTGATGTTTTGGTCACCGAGAACCATGCCCTGCTTCGGCCCGTCAAGACCCAAACTCTTCATGAACATGCCGCCTGCGCTTCCCTTGGTCTTCTTCTTCTGTTCTTGGAGATCGCGCTGGAACTGTTCGCGGAGTTTGGCTTCACGACGAGCGTACTCGACGGGAATGTCCTTGCCTTCCATGGACTTGAGAACGGTGCGTACGTCGATTGGGGTGCCGGTTTGAGACATCATGGCGAGGTACTCAAGGAAAGGAATCATGGCTACGAGGCCCTTGTCTCCGGGTTCTCCCTTCCACTTGGGCAGGATGATGGCGTTTTCGGGCTGGAGTTTGACGTGCGAGGGGTCGGTGTCGATCATGATGACTTTGGAAAGGTCACGGTTGAGGTAGGAAAGGTCCTGAGAATATTAGCAAGAGTGACTTTAGAAGCAAGACGATGGGAGCATACCTTGATGTACTCGCCCTTTTCGAAGCGAGTAGCTTCACGGAAGAGTGGCCACATGACGAGACGGAATGGATCAAGCTTGCGAATGATGGGGTCGGCATCCATGGACTTGACGGAGGTAAAGATGACGAGCTCGTATTGTGAGCTGAGGTATCGTAGGAAGTAGTCGAGACCGGGTCGCTTGGCTAGTCGGTAGCCATGCTTGGTGGTCCATTCTGAGTGTAGCAGGAGGTCCTCCAGACTCAGCACCAAAGTAAGTTCGGGCGCGCCCCCAGGAATCTTTTCCTTGTCTGGTAGCAACTTCTGGAAGGTGGGCTCTGTGTAGTATGCTTTTTGTCCGTTGATGCGGGCGGCTGCACGAGCGTACATGCCTCCCAATGTCCAACCGTTTGGAGCATCAATGTGAGCTGCTTCCTCTTCTTCATTCTCCCAGTTCCTGCCCATGAAGACTGCACCCGTTGTACCGAAGAGTAGCATGGCGAGATAGGACCAGTTGGCAACGCGATTCCGCCGCCTGTCGGTACTGGTCTCGTATGCGGATTTGGGGAGTTCGCCGCCACCACCGCCCTCTCGACCGCCCGCAGCGCCTGGTGTGGGGTCCTCGTAGAATTCATTTGGGTCGTTCGGGTCTCTCTTGGCCTTGCCTTCGGCTTCGGCATGCTCCTCAGCGAAGGTCGAGGGGATTCCGTATCGCAGATCTGGCAGCGGCTTCTGTGGTTGTTGCGACTCTGGGCTTTCGGTGGTGGGGTCTGTGTTCTCGCTGGGCGACTTGGGTCCCGACATCTCTTCCTGCTCCCCCATTTTGAAGTCACTGCCCGCATCTTTCGAGGCCTGGGTTGCACTCTCCACTGGTCTTGAGGGCCGTGTCGGTGTTGTGTTTTTCTCGGGTGCCGCCGCAGTGTCGAACTCGGGCTGCTCTGAAGGGTTTACTGGGTTGGGCCGCGCTTTGTTGCCCTCGTCGAACTTGATTGGGTCTGCGGGTTTCCATGTGTTATCTTTTGGCTTGCCGACTTTGGCGTAGGTGCGCGTCCATTGCGAGGTGGAAGCTATAGGTGCGATGCGCGGAGTTGCCAGTGCGGGCCGGGTGCGCAGTGCGCGGAAGGCGGCTCGAGGCAGCATTGTGATGGAAGAGGGGGAGATAAACTACAAATTAAGAAGAAAAAGCGCCCCTACAAGACATGGGCCGGGAACATGGAGGATGGCGTGTCCGTCGAGTGTTGCGATGAAATAATTGATGGAGCAGGGCTTGGCGCAATGACGCTCCTCCCTCGCCAGAAATTCGCCGATGTCATATGGCAATCGTGGCTTCACCAGTCCAGCACCAGCACCGGACATGCCGCCCCGCTTATACACCAACTGCACCCACGCCTTCCACAGCTGATAGACCTCAGTTCCATGTCGCCTCCCAGGGACTCTTTTGCCCATGCGACAGACTGGAAGGCCTCTGCGGCGACATGCGCCCATGCCCGGAGGAGCACCCTTTCAGCTACTATGCGTATTCCTGCTGTGGATAGCTTGCTGGACGGCTCCCGGTCATGGCATGACCGATGAAGCCATATCTGAACTCAGGTACCGCTCTGCACGAGCCACCGCCACATGTGCATGCTAACTGTGGCAGACAAGAGACACGCGACATCTTCTACCATGGTTACGACAACTACATGGAGCATGCCTTCCCCGAGGACGAACTGCGACCGCTTACGTGCGCACCCCTCACTCGCGATCGCCAGAACCCCGCCCATATAGAAGTCAACGACGTTCTCGGAAACTACTCGTTGACGCTGATAGACAGCCTGTCGACGCTCGCTATACTTGCTTCTACACCTCCACTCGATGCGCCTGCATCCAACAACGCCTTGGACGACTTCCAAGCCGGTGTCAAACTATTGGTAGAAAACTATGGCGACGGCACTCCGGGACCCCGTGGCCGAGGAGCCAGGGCGAGAGGCTTTGATTTGGACAGCAAAGTGCAGGTCTTTGAGACGGTCATCCGCGGAGTCGGTGGACTGCTCAGCTCGCATCAGTTTGCTGTCGGAGACTTGCCTATCAGAGGTTACAATGCAACAACAGAGAAGAGACAAGGACGCCAAGGCATATTCTGGCCCAATGGCTTTGTCTATGACGGACAACTACTGCGGCTCGCGACAGACCTCACTGATCGATTGCTACCAGCCTTCA